ACCAGGGCTTGGGTAGTCAGGAAGGCAAGGATTTGGCGAATGATAGACAGACAACACACTCAGAAGTGGTTTGAATATGCTGCAATTTTACTTCTGCAAATCGGTAGTTTATATACAGAAAAGAAAACTATCAAGTTATACAAGGAACAACAAGAGCTTGGCAATAATTCAATTACATCATCTTTAAAAAAACAGCAAGCACACAATTATTAATCGGCGCTAGACATATCCCTTCACCCACAAGAACTTTATGACCCAAAGAGCAGTCTGTGTTTTTTAAACTTAGTACGGTCCCTAGACTTGTGTAGGCTTCTTTGTGGTTGCAGCTGTGTGTAGCTAGCATTTTCCTGGTCCTGCCTGGCCCAACGTCAGGACAAATTTCTCTCACCTGCCAGTCCCACAGCTGCTCAAACACAACCAAGTAAACAAACACACAGAGACTTATATTTCTTATAAACTGTATGGCTGTGGCAGGCTTCTTGCTAACTGTTCTTACATCTTAAATTAATCCATTTCTATAAATCTATACCTTGCCATGTGGCTTACCTGCATCTTCACATGCTGCTTGTCATGGCGGTGGCTGGCAGTGTCTCCCTCTGCCTTCCTGTTCCCTCCTTTCTCCTCTCTGTTAGTCCCACCTACTTCCTGCCTAGCCACTGGCCAATCAGTGTTTTATTTATTGACCAATCAGAGCAACACATTTGACATACAGACCATCCCACAGCAGCTGTGTCCTTCATCTTTATCTCAGCCGCTCGCTAGTTTATTATTCATTTTTACTTTTCTGGTTCTCTTGGCCCATTTAGCCAATTTGGATGCTGCAGATTCTCCCTAAGTCTTTCTTCAGTTCTTTACCATATATCTCTTCTAATATAAAGCCTTTTTACCTGATGGAATATGGACTCTTGTACTTTTACTCCTGTAAGGGGAAAGGGTTCTGCTGTAGTCCTTAAGTTTCCCATACTGAACTTCCCGGAGTGCTGGGATTAAAGGCGTGTGCCACCACCGCCCGGCAAAACTTTTCTTAAGGTATGAATTTTATATCAATTTATACGATTAGTACATATATATATATTTTAAACTTTTGTCATGATATTAATGGTCATATAGACTACTAACTAATTCTAGAAAAAAGGCTTCATTTAGCTGCCTGTACATGTTTTGGTGTTTGAGTCTCTATCTGTTTTCTGCTGGGAATCATGACCACACCTAACAGCAAATGACAATTCCATCAGGACAATGATAACACCACTAAACTGACAAACACCACCCAAAGATCAGCTTTGGACTACAAACTGCTCAGGACAATTTTGAGATGGCTAGCTGAGATGATCCACCCTCACAAACTGCTGGAGCAAGGACTTGAGACAAGCCCTACATTTTTGCCTTATGCAGAGACTGGACAACAAATGATACAGCTACTTCTCCCAGGGCATGACAATTAACCCAAAATTTTTCTTTTCAGGATCCCCTAAGGATGCCTTCACCCCCTAGAAAGCAGGAAGTAACTTTAAGAACACAATACCTACATTCCCAAGAGGTGGAGTGGGTGGTTTTGGTCTTTCAATGGGTTTTGGATTATTGTCATTGTTTGGGATACTTGGTTACCAGTTGTTATTGTTAATGGTCAGGAAAAATACTAAACAAAAAAGATTAGATTTAAGATTCTTTTTTTTTTTTTTTTTTTTTTTTTTTTT